CAGTCACGCATGTCGGCGTAGCAAGATGGCGGTGACGAGGGCCCTTGAATCAGTGTCTACCTGGTGACGAGCGGTAGACAGCTGCTGTACCACCACCTGCATCGCCTCGTTAATAAAATCCCTGGCAAGGTCTGCTTGGTGGTCCGGAAGGGAGGAAGTGACGTTATCCAGTTTCTGCATGATAAAGTACTGGTAACGTGCCAGTGTCGCTTCGTAGTTCGATATGCACACGCCGAGTCCAGAGGCCACATAAACTCGGCGCGCAAGCATATCAATTTTCCTCCCTTCCTTGTCCCGAGGAGTGGTATATCCCCTGGACTCCCTGCCCTGGGAGGATTCAACCACAAGAGAGTTCGGTTTTGGGTGATGGAGCAGGAAGGGAATGTCATCGTCCCAAACTCTATACATAGCCTCATATCTGCGGGAGGTCGCTTGTGGTTGGGCCGGTTGGTCCCAGGGTTGGACCATAGCCTGGCACAGTGTAGTTATAAGCGGCAGAGCTATGGATGCAGACTGCTCTCCCCGAACGACGTCACAGAAGCGATCTGTCAAAGGGCCTGGCTGTTGATGGGCTTCAATTTCAAGCGAACCAACCAAGTGGGACATGAGCTCTGTGAACGAGACATGAGGTTCGTCAGGTGAAGCAGGCCCTTGATATGTGACAGCCACATCAGGGGATATGGAGTCGACCTTCGAGTCCTCCACATAGTGCAGCCGGTCGTCGTTTGAGGAGGAGGTTTCAGGGAAGGCTGGGCGCCTCGTCTCCGTACACCTGGAGGTGGATGGCACATCCCTCAGGACCAATGGTGATCTCTGCTCATGAGGGAAATAGGGATATGGCTGGTACCCACCCCAGCCAGGGGGAGCACCATATCCTGGAATCAACCAACTTTCATCTCGACACTTGGATGAACGGCTGCGACCTCTAGGAGGTAATGGTGAGGCCACATGAGATTCAGTCGGTGGCATGGGTGTTGGTGAGCGTTCCCTCGGCGGGGAGTCTCTGATTTCGCCATCAGAGATGGACTCCCAAAGTGGCTCCTCCTGTTGCTGGGAAGGCATGCTCTCAGGCCGAGTGGTTGGCCTGGGGGATCCCGGTGGTGTCACCTGCATAACGAGTTGCAGGGCTGGTCCCGAGGGGGTCAGTACCGTGGCGGCCGTTGGTACCAAGAAGCCCGATGAACCTGAGCCTTGTTGTTTTGGGCGGTCAGGTTTCTTGCTCTTGTGAGCGGGCTTACCCACCTTTTCCTTCCTCAACTTCTTATGGGTGGAAGTTTTAGCCAGACTGGTATGCTTGCCCTTCACCCGTTTCTTAGTCGGGGGAGAAAGCAGCAACTGAGCCCCCATAGAAGCAGCGCCCTCGTCCAAAGGACGCTGAGGAGGGTCGGCAGAGGTCGAGGAAGGATGCTTCGCCAGAGTGCTCACGGTGGAGAAGGAGCGCTGAGGAGGTGTGGACGAAGAGGAAGCAGGCCGTAGGAGCAGTTGGTCGGATTGCATTAATGCCTGATCCCGTAGGAGCTTTCTGAGACGATTCTCCCTATTTTTCCACGCCTGCTTGGTAAATACCAAGCAATGACTGCACTTGTCGGTCCTATGCCCCTCGCCGAGGCAGAGGAGGCATAGATCATGTGGATCGGCCGGCGACATTTTAGATCCACATTCAATACATTTGCGGAATGCCGCCCGCTGCACCATCGCGGAAAAATGAAGAAAAGAGGACAGTATAGAGGGTAAGATAATATTTTTGTTTTTGTTTTATATAGAGAGAAAGAATTCAAGAAGAAAACGGACAGAATCGGGGAGAAGAACAAACCTGGAGTAAGAGAAGTTTAAACTTTTTGAGAAAAAACATCGAAGAGGCACAAATCTATAGCAAGAGACGAACAGGCACGAGGCACAGTGAACGGTGGTCGCAAAGACTGAGCAAAATGGCGGACACCCCGCTCTATTTATACCACAAAGGGGGAGGGGAGCGGAGTTTTCCCGCCAAAAACCATTAGCTTTCTAATCTTCCGGCCTAGGCACTGCGCAGGCGCAGCAACCCCATATGTGTGATGCACAGAGGCCACGACGAAGAATTTGAGTTTCATCTTCAGTATCTGGCCTTCTAAAGAGCAGTCAGGATTGAGCTCCTCTGACTGGTTTGATCTCCTTGCAGTCCAAGGGACTCGCAGGAGTCTTCTCCAGCACCACATTTCAAAGGCCTCAATTCTTCGGCACTCAGCCTTTCTTATGGTCCAACTTTCACAGACATACATTGCAGCTGGGAAAATCATAGCCTTAACTAGACGCACTTTTGTTGGCAGGGTGATGTCTCTGCTTTTTAGTATGCTGTCTAGATTTACCATAGCTCTCCTCCCAAGGAGCAAGCATCTTTTAATTTCTTGGCTGCAGTCCCCATCTGCAGTGATCTTGGAGCCCAGGAAAATAAAATTTGTCACTACCTCCATTTATTTGCCAGGGAGTGAGAGGACCAGATGCCATGATCTTAGTTTTCTTAATGTTGAGTTTCAAGCCAACTTTTGCGCTCTCCTCTTTCACCTGCATCAAGAGGCTCCTTAGTTCCTCTTCACTTTCTGCCATTAGAGTGGTATTGTCTGCATATCTGAGGTTGTTGATTTTTCTCACAGCAATCTTAATTCCAGCTTGTGATTAATCTAGCCCAGCCTTTCATATGATGTGCTCTGCATTTAAGTTAAATAGGCAGGGCGACAATATACAACTTGCCACAATTTGTTGTGATCCACACAATCAAAGGCTTTAGCATAGTCAATGAAGCAGAAGTAGATGTTTTTCTGGAACTCCCTAGCTTTCTCCATGATCCAGTGTATGCTGGCAATTTGATCTCTAGTTCCTCTCCTTCTTCGAAACCCTGCCTGTACTTCTGGTAGATCTTGGTCCACATACTGCTGGAGCCTAGCTTGTAGGATTTTGAGCATGACTTTGCTAGCATGTGAAATCAATGCATTGGTGCGATAGTTTGAACATTCTTTGGTATTGCCCTTTTTGGGGATCGGAGTGTAAACTAACCTTTTCCAATCCTGTGGCCACTGTTGAGTTTTCCAAGTTTGCTGGCATATTGAGTGTAGCACTTTTACTGCATCGTCTTTTAGGATTTTGAATAGCTCAACTGGAATACAGTCACCTCCACTAGCTTTGTTCTTGCTAAGACTCCCTAAGGTCCTTTTGACTTCACATTCCAGGATGTCTGGCTCAAGGCCAGCAACCACCCCTTCGTGGTTATGAGGGACGTTAAGCTCTGTCTTGTATAGTTCTTCTGTGCAATCTTGCCACCTAATATCTTCTGCCTCTGTTAGGTCCCTGCCATTTTTGTCCTTTATTATGCCCATCTTTGCATGAAACCTTGCAAAGATACCTTGATACGTTCCCTTTCACGTATCTTTCCCTTTCTCCTTGCCTTTTGCTTCCCTTCTTTCCTCAGCTATTTGTAAAGATTCCTCAGACAGCCATTTTGCTTTCTTGCATTTCTTTTTCTTTGGGATGGTTTTAGTTGTTACCTCTTGTACAATATGGCAGACCTCTGTCCATAGTTCTTCAGGCATTCTATCAAATCCAATTTCTTAAATCTATTTGTCCCCTCCACTGTATATTCATAAGGAATATGATTTAGGCCATATCTTAGTGGCCTAGTGCTATAATACTTATAATACTTATTAAGGCATCCCAAAATAGCATTTGCCTTTTTTGCAACCATATCACACTGCTGAGTCATATTCAGCTTGTGATCTACAACCATTCCAAGACCTTTCGCACTTGCAGTAATGTTGGGCCAATTATCTTCTAGCTTGTAATTATGCATTTGGTTTCTTTCTTGGTGTAGGACTTGGTATTTGTCCCTATTAAATGTCATTCTGTTGTTTTCAGCCCAACACTCTAACCTATCAAGACTACTCTGAATTTTGTTTTTGTCTTCCAGGGTAGCAGCTATCTCACACAATGCTGTGTGATTTGCAAAATTTATAAGCATTCCCTTCACTTACAAATCTAAATTATTAATAGACATTGTGAGGATCACTGAATTCTGCAGTACGCCACTTACCTCTTCCCAGTTTGAGTAAATGCCATTAATGACCACTCTTTGAAGCTAGTTCTGTAACCAACTGTGGATCCACTTGACCGTTATTCAATCTAGCCCACTTTTAGCTACTTTGTCAAAAGCTTTGCTGAATTCAATGTCTACTAGGAAGGTTACCCAATCAAAACAGGAACTCAGATCAGATTGGTAGGATTTGTTCTTGACAGATACATGCTGGCTTCTAGGAATCATTGAATTGTTTTCAAGGTGTTTGCAGACTGACTCCTTTACAATCTGCTCCCAAATTTTCCCATGGATTTCACTATGGCTGTATCTGAAAAAGGTTTTTTTTTGTTGTTGTTTTTTGCATCCCTTGCTAATCTCAGTTCATTTCTAGCTTTGGCCTTCCATACACCATTCCTGCAATTTCATGCTAACTACTTGTACTCTTCCTTTGTAGCCTGGCCTTCCTTCCTCTTCCTATACATATCCTTTTTGTTTTCAGATACTCTCTAAGCATTTTGTGAAGCCACATAGGTCTCTTCTATTGTCTACCATTTCTCTTTCTTGGGATGGTTTGTAATTGTGTCTCTAGCTTTTCCTTTTTAAAAAATCCATTCATCTTGGAGTCCTTTTCTCATTAGAGTCACTTACCATGGGACTTAACTTTGTTTTCGGTTTATTAAAATCAGTTTTCCCAAAATTCAGGATGCATGTTTAGCTACACTTGACTTTTGCTTCCTTTAGAATTAAGAATTCAAGTATGACACTTCCTCCTGGAATTCCCATAGTTACTATTTGGTCCACTAAGTCAAGGTAGTTTTTTTTTTCATTCCCCCCCATTCCATTTAAACAAAATGGTGTTTACATTTATTCTAAGTAGTGCATAACATCCTTTCGAGTGTCTGCTGAAATCATCCATTCCACTTTGGAACAATACTCATATATTAAAATTAGAACTTACCTCTGAAGGATGAAGGCTCCTGTAAAGCATTACTCGGCAACCTAGCTGATCCACAGAACAGAGCCACAGTGACTGGAGTCACTACTGAGCAGCACCTGATATTTGCTATTCGGTGGGCTCTTGTCATTTCATCATATATTAGCCAGTCTGTGGGGAGTGCCTGAATAGCTGCTACTTGACCATTTGCTGGAGGAATCTATTAAAAGTAACACAAAAAGGTTTAAGGGTTTTCTTAACATATTTCTTCTTTCAGTCCAATTGAGACAATTTAAAACATCAGTTTGCAAACATCAGTTTCCTATTTATTTACAATTTTTAAAAAAAATGTTAGCAGCACCCAACAACATCATTTTTAATCAAAGCAGTGGAGGAGTTCATCAGTGCAAAGATGCATGCCAACTAGAGGTCTATAATACGATTGTTCTAATGGAAAACAGGGAAACAAACTCTGGAAATAACTCTAATATATAGAACAAAAATAATCTATATGAAGACAACCTGAACTATAAATGATTAATATGTATATATATATATAAGTTTAATGCGTAAATTATTGCTTCATATATAACCTACATATGCAATTATGCATAAGTTTACATACGTATGCAAACATATTCCAATTATGGCAGGGGAAGGAAATCACATAAAATCATTTTTTAAGCTAATGCCTAAAGTGTTCTGCTAAATTACTATTTTTCTTTCAAAAGAGAAATCCAAGAAAACTGAGATTACAGAATGAAATCACCCTTTATATCATGGGTAGGGAACTTTCAGGCCAGGGGACTGAATCTGATACACCAGATCTTCCCCTTTTGCCTGCAATGGCCTCCAGTGAAGCTCCTCCTCCTTTCTTTTCCACTTGCTGGCAAAAATTAGCTGAGGGGACAGTCTCAAAAGAAAGGCAGTCTCTCTGAGAATGATGTAAGCATGACAGTGCATGTCTTTCTGTGTGAAGGGGATGTGTGAGAAATTGTGGGGCAGGGGCAACAGCCAGCAGTGACTCTGCTCCTTTTGTATATTGTCTTGTCCAATTCTAACATGTGGCCTCAAATATTCAGCTTGGAACCAACATGGCCTTCAGCCTAAAAATTGTTCCTACTCTTTTTCAGTTTTCAAATTTCAAGTGACAATTAGCCATCCTTTATGCTTTAAAATTATGAGAGAGGAATCATGACCAAGGTACTATCCCATTCTGTGAACTGTCCACTGCTTTGATAATTAATTTTATTAAGCAAAAAAGTAAGGATAACACTACTTCCATACTATACATGTCTTTTTCATATAATGCATAGATATGCCTGCATGAAGTCAATTTAGCATATCCAGTTGCTACAAGTCACACCACAGGAATCAGTACAGAAACTGACTTATAGTATGCACAACAGAGAAACACACAGCCCACATGCAGAAATATTGTGTAAACCCTACACAAACTAGACCAGGAAACACTGCTGGATGCTAAAACATGTTTAGTGAAAGAATACAGAACATCATTTGCCACACCATTCAGCCAGCTCTTTCATTTCCATGATGGTTCTCTTATTAATGCAATTGTTCTTGGTCATGACTTGTAATAAAATACACATCTGACTAAGCAAAACATTCCAAACCATTAAAGGTGCAATCCTATGTGTGTTTAGACAGAAAAAAGTTCAATAACTCCCAGCATACCCAAACATTGAGCCCTAAACCTGCTCACTGAATAAATGAGCTGGCCTTCCTTCCCAACCCACAAGACTGCCATTTTACGGAATACTACATTTTGTATCTTACCTTTTTATACTGGGGCTGACTAAGAACAGAGGTAGGATGAAATCGGACTTTTTTTTCTTTTGGCCCGGTCAAGACAATGTTCTCTCTATCAACGTGAACAATATTTGGATACATTCCAGCTACTAAGGCACCTTTAACCACCGCCCAATTCTCAGAGTTTGTATTAACATCTCTTATATCACCACCTCCTCTAGCTCTAACAAAACCTAAAAGACAAGACATTTATATTTCATTAATTATTTAAGAAACAGTTCTCATTTTCACAGTTTCCCATTATCTCACACATGCCTGGAAAGCGTTAACATGTCAATTGTCACTCTGTTTTTATGATATACTAATTTGTGTGATGGAAATTGTGGATTCATTCCTGAGGAATCCTGCCTTGCAATGCAGGATAAGGGGTTTTAAAAGGCTGTTCTTTTTGCAATGTAAGATACTATTATCCAAGAAGTATAGTGAGTCAGTGTTGTGTAGAGGTTCAATTCTGGACTGTGATCTAGGTTCTAGTCCCTACTTCACCACAAAGCTCACTGGATGTCTTGAGTCAGTCACTGACTCTCGGTTATCAGACCTGAATGCTGTATCAGGAATATGAAAGTGAAGTAATACAAAATAGGTTTTTTAAGTTATTCTCTCAGCCTTGGTATATATTGCATGAGCAGCATTCACAGATGAAGATGGTTATGTTCCTATCTAAATCACAGGTGGAAGTTATTATGTATTAGCTCTAAATTTAGATGACCAAGATAGAAAGCTACTAGCTACAGCAACCTGAAAATTGAACCTCTGAAACTATAGCGGATCCCAACAATCAGAAATTTGTTACAAGAAGATCTTTCCTGAGGTGTTAATGGGTTTATAATCTATTTAATCTGAGTTCAATGAAAGATTAAAAAACTGGCTGTAGAACTAGATAGTGGACAGTTTGATCTCTCTGTTCTCTCCTTTCTTTGCATGATAAGCATATTCTAAAGTTGCACACGAATTTAAAAACTACCAGTTATCCATAGGGAAAAGTATTACTGTGTATGAATGTAAATGCCTACTCAGATAATGTAAGGGAACTTTCTGTAATATTAGAAACAGTTATGTACTTGGCAAGTTTGCAGGCTTGCCACACAGCTTGTGTGGACTTTAAAAATCTAAAGATTAGTGAAAAATATTAGCAATGGTCCTTCAATCAAACTCCTTTTTTGTTTACACTTAGTATTTGCTGTGGGGAATATTTCAAAATTGTGGGAAACAATGATCGATGTTAGAGCAAATCTTGCTAAAAATGCTAACAGAATTATAGCAGATAGCTAATTAACAGATTCTGACAGGTAAGCCCTATCGGCATAATTCATTTTAAGTTACTTGGTTTTCTTTGCTTGACTTTTTCAACTGACTAATATGCCAGTGTAAGAGTACTATGTCTACTAGTATGTATAGTCCTAAGTTTGCCTTTGTTTTATGCTAGGGTAACAGAGAAGTTAGTAGTATCCACTGATGGCATTCATATGATTCAGCAACCCATTGTGGCTAACTAGGAACAGCAGATTGTCAGGTCATGAAAATCTGGATTGCTTCCTGAAGGACAACAAGCCACCCTGAAAGCACATGATCCATATGCCATATAGACTGGGCTAAGATAGTCCCCTTTGTAGAGGCCTTTAAAGACCTTCCTGGTCATGCAGGGACCTGAAATGATTAGCCAGGTGTCTTTATTTTTGGCCAAGTCTTTTATGGTATTTTTAATAAATTTTTAATTCTTGTTAATGTTTTTACTGATTGAATTTTATTGTTTTTATACTTTGTTATAAACCACTCAGGGAGCTTCAGGTAGAATAGTAGTAGTAATTGCAGTAGTAGTAGTAATGGTCCATGCCAGCTGGTTGAATTGTCCAAACCCACGAGACCAATCCAATTGTTCACTGTGGGAAATGGTGAGTGAATTACTTGGCAAGAGCAGCAGGAAACCACTCTTTGGCAATCTTGTCAGCAACAGACCCTCCACTGATGCCTAAACAACACTTTACAGCAACCACTGTTGGTTCACCTACATTGTCCTCTGCGAATATCCCTTCCATTCACTTCCCAGCTGTGAAATATGCATATATTTCTCTTTAGTTACCACCCTGATTTGCAATTTGTGCTTATGACTCTATTTTGAAGAAAAAAAAAACCTTTCCCAAACACTTAAAAAAAACACTGAGAGGTTGCAAAATGGTGCAGAGTCCATGGGATGCCAAAAACATTCTCAACTGTGGCAGTCTCAACCATTTGACCGTGGCAGTCAAAAAGGGGGTGGCCTTAACATTTGCCCTTTCTGGAGCAGCTGGGTAATTGAGAAGTATCTCAAAGGTGGAGGCCACTAAGAAATGTCAAAATTCAGGCAATCAACTTGCTAAGAGAGAGATCTACAGCTCACCATCATTCAGTGAACTTTCATAGTTTCTTTCCGTTTTTCCAGTGCATGCCAACTGTCAGTTAGGCACTTGATAGGTGCCAACTGTTTGCAATGCAGGCTATGTGCAGTCTTATTTATTACTTTGCTTCTGGCTCATCGTTGTAATTGACAAGACAGTAGGCTAGGCAAGATGACATGTTATTAGTAAGGTAAAAGAGTACACTTGCAAAAAGACCAAAATAAGTTTTAAAAATAATCTAAGAAGATATTTTCTCATATTACAGGAGCTAAAAAATAATTACAAATGACCCCTCCTGTACTTTTTGCAATCTCCGGGGAGAGGGGGGAAGGGCAAGAAATAAAAGGAGTGATGACTGGAGCAGTGGCAGAAGAAAAAGGGTCATGATCAGAGTGGGAATGCTGGAGACAAAACAGTTTGTGCCACAAGCGGCCTGAGATACTGACTAGAGGAATGAGGAAAGTGGGGACAGAATTGTCTGCCAGGTGTGTTGTGAGTTGCTCTGTGAACACAGCATTACATAGCTTACTTGTAAAGTAATTTGCCATGCTGGGTAAACTCACAAGCTGCACAGTGAATATTGCTTGTGAAACTCAAGTACATATAACCATGGTCAATTTGTAATCCATGGCAACCACAAAGCAGATCCAAGTACAACAATAGATGCAGCTAATTTTCTTGCAGCTATTAGCCCAAGGCTTTACTATAGCTTTATTATATCTCAAGCTCAAATGTCAAAAGTCAACTACCATATCCTTGATCAAGTCAAAAGAATCAATACAGTGAAGTCTAGAATGAATGTTCAAAGATTTGGTGGAGGTAGGGGGTATATTCAGGTTAATAAATATGTACCTGAAGCTCTGAGCTGCCCAAGCAACTGTGTTCTCATTCCTATGATAATTTCCATTGTTGCCTGAGAAAGGAAGTTCTTCTCACAAAAAGCTCTTTCCCAGCCATCACTTCGTGCCTTCTGCCATGCCTGCCAAACAAGTTGATTCAAAATGCATTTGAGTGACATTCTTTATAGGCAGGCAACATGTGCCTATTGGCCATTTTAAATATAATACATTATAAACTCTTTCTAAATCTTAATTTATTACAGAAATTCAAGATTTCAAGTTTACACAACCAATTTGTCTTTTAAACATATTCCCAGGAACAAAGCAAATCTAGCTTGTGCCTGTGACTTACTAATCTGCTGGCTTTCACAGAGACTTTTGACATCGGATAAGAACAATGATTTCCACCCATGAGCAAGTCCATGGGTAGCAACTATCAGGGACTGAAGAACTGTTTCCAAATCATTACAGAAATAGCTTACACTCTATTTGACCTTGCAGCCAATCAGAAAGGAAGCACATCTGTTAAAGGTCAAAAGATTTTCAACACTGACATGTGACTACCCAAACATGTGACAGAATAAGCTATTCCATGCTACAGGGAATGAAACAACTGGGTGTCCATACTTTTCACATCAATGGAGGCTTAAGAACTGAGTGCTAGTGCTGTTAACCTTTCTGCTCAACCCTGAAGACCAAAGGAACTATAACTATTTACCCTCCCACAAGCATAGCATTACAGCAGTCCACCTCAACACAAAGAGTGGGTAGGATAGCCTCCCCCACAGGAAAGACTGCAAGATTATCACTTTATGATAAGTAAACCTACTCCCGTATGACCCATGCAAGTGTCTGGCAATCAACCAAATCATTAATACACACAGTATTACTACTGTTCACACAGTAGTATGTTGTTTCTCTAGCTCAAAGCAGTGGAGAATGGTAAGCAAGTGGGAGGTGACAAGCAGAAATTAATTGGCAGGAGCAAGGAAGAGAAATAGGAAGAAGCAGCAGTGCAGGTTGAGATGTGCAAGTGCTTGACAATTGTTTCTGCCCTGGACAGCACTAGATGGCTTTTCCAGATGAGTAGATCTAGGTAAAGTGCCTCATCTCTTCCAGATACATAAATCCTAAGTGATCTTTTAGTAGACAGGCAATACCTGGAAAGCCCGAAGAAGTGCCATATGGTCACTGAATGTTCCTGCAGTAAATCGTTTTCTGCACAGCATTGCTGCACGTTTTTGCGAGGCCTGTGTAGGTAGCACAAAAGGATCACGATATGCAAGAGTGCATGCAATGGTCAGAATAGGATCCAGGCACTTGAGAACAACAGCGCACAAAACCATTTTACCAAGATGGGGTTCTACTGGTAAATCAGCCAGATGATAGCCAAGTTCCGTCAGATCCTCCCAGGTATCCATAGCATCTATTGTCTATTAAAAGAATAGTAACTAATGTCAACATACAAAGAAATGCACAGTTCAACTGAGAATAGTTTAGCTGCATATTTAAATAGGCTTAACATATATTTCTTTTGCAATTAAAAAGGATATTCATTTATTCTCATTTGTTATTCCCTGGTGGTATAAGAAACATTAGGTCCCTGGTGAACTTAAAGAATAGCCACTTATGATAAGATATTTACAGGGTCAATCTTTTAAGGGAACAGTATTAGACCAAGAACACATGAAATTTGGAAAGATGTTTACAGAAATATGCAGAATTGTTAATTAAACATCTGCATAGAAATATAATTAGAGGACATGACAAAAGCCACTAACAGAAACAATATAGGAACATAAACTGGTGCTGTTTACTCAACTTAAGCATCTGCACAGCATTTCTCACAATTAAGGCAGGAGGTGGTTCTGGAGCTTTCATTAAGAAGTCAGCAACTGGACAGTTGATGGGGGCCAGTAATTTTGTATGCAAACAGAGCTCCTAGAAATTTAAAAAAAACTTTTTCAAAAAGTTCCAAAATACAATGCAATTTGTTAATCTACTGCACAATCAATTTTATATCACCTCAGAAATAAAGATCACTGAATTCAATAGGTCTTACTCCCAGGCAAGCAAATATAACATAAGGTCAGAACTTTTGTTTGTTTAGAAAGCTTCTGATCCAGTTGAATATTTCCACTAGTGAAATGAGAAGAAAGAACATGCAGAATAGAACCTTCCTCAGGGCATTCCATCACAGGCAGTAGGAAGCACCAAATCCAATTGTCCCAAAATGCTTTGTAAAGAATCTGTAACAATAGCAATCTTATAGTTTCAGCTGATTTTCCTAGGTACTCCATTCATCAATTCAACATGTCCTAAAAATGCTGTCCCCTGGTGACTTAAGATCTCATGAAAGCCACCCATATGCTCTAGCACATGGGTCCTCAATCTAAGGCCCGGGGGCTGGATCCGGCCTGCCATGCCCATTTATCCAGCCCGCCATGCCCATCTGGACCCACCATGAGTGGGCCCGTGCCCACACACATGCACGCTGCTACCCACCTCACCCCGTGCACGTGAGAAAACGATTTCCAAGTGAGCAAGCCGCTGCCTCATGCACCTGCCTCGCAGTGCATGCCCGCCCCCACCTCGCCTCCCCTCACCACGCACGCCTGCTCACACCTCACCTCACCGTGCGCGCCCCGCCCCTGCCACAGTGCGCATGCCCACATGCACCACCCCTGAGCCAGCCCATGTGCACTGTCAGCACCACCTTTCCGGTTCGAGCCCAGTACAGGCAGCTTTCAACTGGCCCCCTGGTGGAAAAGTTTGAGGACCCCTGTTCTAGCATTTCAGGATCAGTGAAATTAGATAAATATAAGATCTACATATATACAATTGTATATAACCCTTCCCCTCCTGTATATACTACAAAATGTGTAAGGAAAGAAAAAAAGAATTTCCATTGTGACACTTAAGCAGATTTTTTGCATGACCCTACTAAAAGCGACTCCCTCCAAATTCAATGGAACTCACTACCAAGTAAGCATTCCTAGTATCCAGCATAAGAATAACTGTTCATCGACTGAACATTTCTGTTTAACCTACAGTATAAAGGGGAAGTAACCAAAATCACTTTGCTTATCAATTGTGCTATGGCTGCAGAGCAGTACAAACTAAACTTGCAACACCAGCATCAGGTACCATCACAAAATTCAAGAGTGAAGCACTGTATAAAGCAACAGCTCAACACATAATTGAGAGAACCAGAACAATTCTTTTAGGTAGCACCTGATAAGACATTGCATAAAATACTTAATTCATTGTATTTGTAACAGAAAAGCAAAGCACTGGGCCCACTATTTGTAGAAGGTCAAAATATTTTGAGGTGTTCCACAAAAAATCTCTCAAATAGCAACCATGTATACACAGGTTCAATTCAAATATTGTCCAGAACCATGGTTAAGAAAGCTTAACCATGATATCTGAACTACCAAACCATTGTTGCAGCCATTAATAACTAGACTATCATACCAAGTGAATGGATGTGTACTCATGAACATGTGGCTGAGGGAACAGACAGTAAAGGCAGATTAGCACCTCTAAGCCACGCTTAGCACCAAGTGTGGTTTGATTTCATGGCTGAATTAAGACTTTTACAGACTTAAAGAAACAAATGAGAGAATTACCTGCAGGGGCATTCTTAGAAGTTCTGGAGTCTGAAATTCCAGCATGTTTTGAAATCTTAGTTTACTGAAAAGTCGAAAACAAATTCCAGGCCGACAACGTCCTGCCCTTAAAAACAAAGTGTTAAGATAGATTAAAACATAGAAAAGTAGAATAAATTACGTACAGTATCAAACCAGATCTTAATGGTATCTCCAAAGCAGACAGATCTACAAACACTCACAAAAGTGCCATTTGTTAAAGCTTCTGGCTCAAAGGCAGCATGGCATCAGCTTCATGACAACAGTATAAAGAAGCTTTCAACTGGATGCTGGGGTGATTCAAAGTGCATACTATAAGAAACATGACCAGATGTCTCCAAAGAAACATGATACTTTTAGAAATTGTCTGTTATTTGAGGCATTATACCCTCTTTTTGAGAAAACAAGAATTGATTGTTTCTAACTTGAGTGTAGGAAAAGTAATTGATGATACTTCTATTACCTGCCCTTCCTCTGAACAGCACTGGCTTTAGAAATCCATACCATCTTTAACATAGTTACACAGTTCAACGCATCAAAAGACTTCTGAAATACAAGAAGATAACTGTATCAGGAGTCAGATTTTGAAGATTGAGATAACATTAACAAGAGTTCTATATGAAGTGATTTTGCCACATACTGTAATTTACAAACTCTGTTGAAAATCTGTTTTAAATAGAACACACCAATATGTTTTGCTAATATTACAGAATTCTTTATATTTCTCTACCAGATAATGCAAGTTTACAATTTTTATTTTAATACGTCTAAATTAACAGACCTCTTTCATTTTTCCAGAGTCGATCACAAAGACAACATCATTAACTGTGATACTGGTTTCAGCAATATTTGTAGAAAGAATCTGCAGCAAAAATAATATTATTTGTGATAGCAGCTGATGGAGGAAAAATGAAAATTCTTGAATGGCTGAGAGTCATTTGATACTTACTATTTTGCGGATGCCTGGAGGTGAGGTCTTTAAAACTTTCTTCTGATCAGATGTCTGCATATTTGAATGCAGCATAAAAACTTGAAATCTAGTAGCAAAGAATTATAACTAAACTGAAATAAAATTTTGTAAGAATAAAAGCATAATAAAAACTCACAATAAGATGTGAAAACATTTACCTGTGAGCATTATCGGCAAACCTCTTGTCATCAAATAATATGCGATCCCTCAAGCCAACAATTTCATCATAGCCAGGAAGGAAAATTAAAACAGCTCCTGTAAAATAAGCATCCAAAATTAAAGCAAGAGAAACCAGAAAAATCAGTGTTGAGTCTTTTTCCCCCTTTGTGAAGGCTTAAGAGTAGACACGCCTGGAAGTGGGAGAGAGTGCGTTTAGTTCAGGTTCATGTCTCCCCGCATTACCATGTAGTACAGGGGTCTCAAACTCAACTTACCTGGGGGCCGCTGGAAGTAGAGTCTGGGTGAGGCTGGGCCGCATCAAGTATTCCACCACCGCGGTGGTGGTGGGCCACTCATCCCGCGGCCGGCCCGGGTGCCGCCGGCGCTTTGAAGGCTGCAGGGCCCCTCCCCTGTGCCCCGCCCATCCCGGCAATTAGCCCGCGGGCAGCGAGTTTGAGACCCCTGATGTAGTACATCTAAATGGGAATCAAAGCCTATCAAACCTGCCTACCTACATTCATATTCATATAGGTTCTGCTCATAAAATCCGTCCCTATAGGATTGGGTATAGTTACAATCTAATATAGTGTTAGGACTCTGAAACACTCCCGCAAACAGACCAAAAAGTCAATTTAGTTCAGTAGTCTCCTTCCAGCAAGCTCATAAGTAGAACATAATAGGTCTTGGTTCGCATGAAGGCCTAGTTCGCACATAACTAAACTTGTACTCTTGTGGTGGATGTGCTGCCATTGAATCATGGCTAAATTGTTAGTACGCGCAAAACCTGCAGTATTAACTATGGGTTGCTAACAATAAAGCACCCAGAAAAATATCCCATGACTTTTGATTGAGGTGTGAATTCTAGGTTGCTTGTTTTAACAATACATAAATCGTGCACAACGGACACGTCACAGCCAGTATGCTCGGTTGTCATTTGCAAACCAGGCCTGTGTGTGCTTATGTGCAGCACAGCCTGTATAACAGAGGACAGTGGAAGTTATCCCTCTGTGACTGACCCTAAAACTTGTCTAGATAATTTATTAAAATGAAAGCAAGAACTACTTATGTATTTACCTGCTTCACAGCTATGACAGATATTATACAATAGGTGCATGATCAGGTCCAGATCCACCTTTTCATCATCAAAACTGTGATGATATGCTTTCAAGAGTTCTCTATCTTCTGTACTAAGTTCACCAGCATTAGCTTGGACCAAGGAACTTTCATCTAGATTACCAGACTCCAGTGAGGCACTGAAATACATAACGTATACAATACAATAAAACAAAACCATACTAGGACAATATTGAAATAGATTTAGATCTACCTAAGTACTGAATTCAAAGATTGGAAGATTCAAGATTTGCTAATGCAATTCCAACAATATTTGAAAACTACAAAGGAGGCCTTCCATTCATTTAAGAAACTTTGACAGAAGAAACATTTAAGAAACTTTGACAGCCTGCTAATGGGGGAGGGGGCATTAGTTTCCCCTTTCATAACCCATGGCAGCTTTGGATCCAACACCAAATATTCTACTAACTAGCCACAAAACTAACAAGATGAAACAACATAAGTAAACCCTAACTGATCTATAGGATTATGCATAAATTGAATCATTCATTTTATTTGGGCTATGTTTTGTTGTGCTTTATTTTATGTTGTATTTTTCTTTTTTTAGTAAGGTTCTATTGTTATAAACAATCTTGAGAACACGTTGACAGGAAAATAAACATACTTTTAAATAAAGAAATCATGTTATGCTTAAGCAATATGTCTTAAGTGCTTAAGTATATTGCAAATACACACGTGCCAATTCCAAATAAAAGCACAACTAGTTCTACACAACCTACAATTTTCTGGAGTTGTTTTTTTCAAAAAAAACTGCATATGCAATGCATCCAGCCACTTTTGGAAGGGAGGAAAGCTCCAAATGCAACTTGTGAAAAGGAAAGGGATGTGTGGTTAAAGGAAATTAAAATTAAAGTCTTATTGGAGAGATGCATTGCACTCAACATCAGAGAGACTTTCTGGCTAAAGGGGCAGGAATATAAATCTTATAAATGAATAAATAGATGTAACTTCTAGGATTCCAGTCAAAAAGTGTAAATTACAGGGATCACCTTTTAAAGAAACACATCTGCACATACGGCATTGTTTTAAAAGTAGTTCAGTAATGTTCCCATTAATCCTGTGTCATATATCTTGAGTGCAGACAAAAGTATAAAATTAGTGATTCATTTCAGTAAGGACCACAAATATCTTAAAGTGTTAGAAAAGTATTGTGGCCGTAAGTCTGGAATTAATAGCAGCATAGGGGAAAGAAAAGATAATGAAATGCAGTTTCTGGAATAAAAAAAGAATGGGATTGAACTCTAAAGAATATTTAAGCCTTTTACTAAACACTAAATGTCCTCAATATCTTCAGAAACCTGCTTTAATTTTATAATTAATTTTCATTCTTTAATATTTGCTGGGCTTCATTAAGAAAATGTTCTTAAGAATAAATGTTCTTTATTCATACAGAATAAAGTTTCTATAAATCAAATCTAAATGATGCCTCTTACATAAGCAAAAGTGCCAGTGGGCTTCCCTATTTATCCTAACCCAGGAGAGGGGTCTCCCTGTATACATTCTAATACTTTCCAGAACTAGAAAATACTTTACCAATAGGATTCCAACAGGTCAACCACTTCATTCTGTCCAAAGTGCTTAGCCCAGTCCAAAGCTGTCCTGTAATCATTGTAAAGAATATTTAACCAAGCATTTTGTTTAAGGACAAAAGTACAGCTTAAAAACAGAGCACATTTTCCATCTTTTCCAGCATACCAAAGAAAGCATTTCTAATCTCACCTTTGTTATGCAAAATTAATCATGTTGTATATGATTATGCAAGAGTAATTCCACTGGGCACATACAAAGGCACTTGGTTATGGTTCTAGCTAATTATACATTTTCTATTAATAAAAAAGTAAAAAACTGAAGCAGACCTAACAGTTCAAGTGGGTTTATGGGTTCACAAATCTTTTTTGGACATGTGAGCACATTTGAGAAACTGCTGTGGAAACTACCACAAAACAGTTCCCATGGGTGTCTGGTTAGTCAACAGTGAGCTGAAGAGGTGGCTTGCAGGGGTTGGAGAGAAATAGTGAGGAAGCAAATGGAAGGAAGAGGGAAATAACAAGGCTAACAGGTAGAGAAGAGAGCAATATCAAGGCTAAAAGCTAAAACATGAAAGACTATTACACTTATGTTTTCCAAAGTTTCGATTAAAAAAAAATGAAGAGGGCAGAAAATGAAAAGCTTTGTGGGCACCATTGGAGGTCACTGCAGACATTGAAAATTCCAAGAAGTACTAATCTATTATATAAGAAGATATAATTTATTATTCTGTTGATATATATTTACTGAGAAGTACTTTCAGCTGTTAAATAATTACATTCTAAACCAAGATTTTTGTTTTACTGTAGAGAAAAGCAATGCCAGAAATTCTGTGACTTTGATTATGTGACTTAAGTTTGGCTATGTCTACATTGCAAATTTTCTTCCCAGTTGTCCTTGAAGCAAAGAGTACAAGCAACTTTCAAATGATTCCTGTTAAATTGTGAGTCAAACTGAACCTGCACCAAATACTGAACTGAATGTTTTACTTTGTTCCAGGCCAAAACAGTTCCTAAACTGTTACAGGAAAATGTCTAACCTCATTCAGTTTTATGTAAAGAGGGTTCTGTTGAATCCAGAAATGAAGCCAAGCTGGGCTAACAGATTCCAAATAAGAGCTCAGCAAATAAACAGATGATTGAAGTGTAAAGCAGTACAGACTCGACTTTTGTATTCTGCCCACATTAAGGGCAGAGAAGGAGAAGAGACAACCTCCAAAATATCTGATAAACTGTGGTTCATGTATACTAAGGTTAAGTGGAAACAAACCAGTTTTTAAAACTGCAGTTTGCTTGTTTCCATTTCCCACTGCCATAATTATCAAGTTCAGTTTGTCAGATTCAAATGGCCACAGCTCATCAAACGTGAAAAATTAGCATTTTTTTCCTTGTGGATACACCAGAGGAAGAGAGAAGGGAAACTGCATGATCAAACCTGCTGCAGCATGTCCTTGTAATGCTATATTATGGTTTGGCATCTAACTGTAATGTAATGTATAAACTTTAGCATAACTTCATCATAGTTTAAACACACACAATCAAAACAATATCAAAAGGTTGCACTGTTATTTTACCAGCCATTGGATGATTTGATGTGAACATTTGCTCCCATACCAATCAACTGTTCTACCTGACTCAGGAAACCTCTTCCAGAAGCTATCATTAAAGTTGTTGCACTTGTTTCACTGTGCCTGTAATCAACTAGGACAAGAGGGTAAAATTAGTGTGTTTTTAAAAGAAATTGCTCGAACTAAAATTCCAAAATATTGGGTTACTAAAAAAAAAAAAAAAAAAACTTTAAAGAACAGTTTAAACTCATTGCTTTGGCCACAATCCTATGCGCATTTACCTGTCACTTCTGTGAAAATATGTTCAACGAAAAGTTTCATGCTTTATGAGAATACAAACAATAATGTATTGTTTGTAAGTTAATGTTAATTAATGTTGTGGAATACTGAAATGTCCCAAAATTATGCCAAAGAATTCCAGGAAACTAGAAAGATCCAAAAAGTCAAGTCTAATTTTTTAAAGTATAATCTGTTAATTTTTTTCTAGTCAAATTACACTAACATTTATGGCCTAGCGATTTGATTCTGAGTTCTGAGTACGGGGAAGTTACTCGTATCACTGTGAACTTACCACTGACATTTTCAGTTAAAATAAGGTGGAACACCTGGGCAAAGGCATCAATATCTTTATGAATCCAGATATCAGAAAGGCATGCATCCATCTCTTTAATTAACCAGGGTTCAAGGCAATTGACGTCCTTTTCAGCCTGTGAATAAAAATACATTTTAACATAATAATTCAATCTGAAGTCTTTCTAAAAGCAGGAGTTCCATCATATATTTTGAAAGTAGCAGAATGCTTCAAAATCTCAAAACTGTACATAATTATTTATGAAAACTAACCTGGGGAAAATCCTTTCCATAAACTGAAGATCAGTCCAGACAAACATGAAAGGAGATGGATCTATGTAATATAGTGTTATGTTCTTGCTGTAACTTTCTATTGAGCATAGAAGCCCTTCTCTCCAAGTTTAAAACAACTTTTACTATGCCAGAGTAAAAGGAGCACTTCAGAAGATATGAAGCCCGAACCCCATGAAAATTTTATGTAGAGTGGTACTACACAAAATATCTGCCTATGAAAAATATTTGATTTCACATAAGCTATAGTAAAAAAAATTCCTACGAATACATATGCAGTGATGTGTGGTTTAAAATATGAAAAGTAGATAAAGCAAGGAAGTAATTTCCCCTCTTGGCAGGACTTCTATAAAGTCAGGGTACCCTCTGCACATGCATTTCTGTTATGCTTCTGGGTTGCCTGTGAGCAGATAAAGTTACTTCAAGCACTGGGTATTGGTGGAGATTTGGATCCAGGTCACATCGTTCCCATTTCATAACAATTCCTAGTAACACAAAGTACTGGAAGACTTATAAATGTGCATACCAGCTGACTGAAAACTGTGTCACCACCATCATCCAACAGATCACATTCTTCAGCTACATTTGGAATTGCCCTCTGTCGCTGCAATTCCGGCTTGCTGTTGTCTTGTGCAGAATACCACTCAGTGAGAGTTGTCTGTTGTTTTTCCTCTATTTAACATTTTTTGTGTTTTACAGAAAAAAGTCAAAAACAAAATGAATATTAACTTCCAAATAGACTTTTGCAACATTTAATAGCAATAGAAACACCTTCTAGCACTTGTAAATACAGATACCAACCTCTCTGTTTTTCCTTTTTGTATTTGATCATCTCTTTATTTGTATAGCCTGTACTTTTTAACAGGTCTTCCAGGAACATCTCCTTTACTTCAAATGGTTTTCCTGGTACTGAAAAAATGATTGGTATTATAAATATGCATGATTTACTCTAAACTTATTAACCAATACACATGCACTGAAAGAGTGGCTATAATAGCACCCTGACAGCACCCCTTGTTTATATTATTAAAAGAGCAGTGTGTTCCTTGGACCACCGACATCATAAAACTAGTACTGTAAAGTCAGACACATGACACTGTGCAAGCATACTAAGTGGGTCCTGGGGTGAGTACCTCTGGTATATCTTGGTTTTGAAATGTACAGATTATTTTTAATTAATTTAAATGGGACCATGTGGCTGAAACCTGCTAAGTTGAAATTCTTCAACAATTGGGCAGAGTTCCAGAAACAACTCTGCAGACCATATAGTTTAAAACCATGGGAGATTAGTAACTTGAGGAACACAGTTATAGACTTGTTCCCTCTTCTCTGCTATTAACAGGTGAACTGAGTGGAGAGTCATTCTCCTTTAGGGGATTACTAATCCCTTATAGTGCCCCATGGCAGAGCACACACCTAGGGTGACAACAAGCATGCTTTCATTTGGACAAGGCAGGTGCAATGCATCCAACTTTGACAACTACATAAGTTTGTTTGAAGGCTTCATTATATCAAAGTATGAACTGTTCAAAACTCCTGTTTTATAAAGTAGTAACCCTTGGCCATTTCAGGTGAAAACCTGCCACAGTGCTTAACCAACCTTGTTTGCTATCTTGCCAAAAACAAAATGCACTGTTAAATGTACATGCATATGTACATATCTATATCTATGTATTTATAAATAGTAAATATATTAAATATACTTTAGTACTGTTATCCTTTGGACTCATTTTGAAAGTGTGGCTTCTAGATTGAGAGAGCTATTACTACCACTCTATATGACTCTGGTGCGTCCGTAACTGGAGTATTGTGCTCAGTTTTGGGCCCCTCATTACAGAAAGGATATAGCCAGGTTAGAGTCAGTGCAGCATAGGGCCACAAGGGTGGTGGCCAGTTTGCAGGGGATGCCGTATGAGGCAAGACTGAGGGAACTGGGTCCCTTCGGCCTGGAGAAGAGGAGACTCAGAGGGCATCTGTTGACAACATACAGGTATGTGAGGAGATGTCACACGGAGGTGGGTAGAGACCTGTTCTCTCCTGCAGAGGAAGGCAGGATGTGCTCCAACGGAGCAAAGCTCAGGGAACCAAGGTTCCATTTAGATGCCAGGAAGCATTTCCTGACAGTTAGGACCCCAAGGGTGTGGAATGGGCTTCCACGAGAGGTCGTTGAGGCCCCATCGGTGAGGGTGTTCAAAGATAGGCTGGACATGCACATGGTGGGCATGTCGTGAGTGGAGCCGGCTGGTGCCAGAGGTCAGACTAGATGGCCTGGGAGGCCCTTTCTGACTTGCTCTGTTTCTATGTTTCTAAAGTAATAGAAAATCAAGTGAAGGAAAATAATGTTCATAATCATTTAAGTTTTTACAAAAATTAACCTCACTAATAGTTCCCTTTCATTGTTCCTTCTGTAAAGTACATCCAGACATCACAGAAGACTAACAAAATAGGATCCATGCAATATATGCAATGTTTTCAGACTCAACAGATAATCATGGATCTCCAGGTTCACCACACTTTCTAGTAAAATTGTGTTGCTGAAAGCTCAGAAGTTGTAGACCTGATAACATTCACAATATACCTTCACATAATACCTGCTGTGCAGTAGTTACAAAAAATCATGAGGAAAATGGGTGTTTGAATCTACCCTGAGTTCAGAATGGAGAGAGATACATGCCAAACAAAATAGTAGGGTAGCAAGTAAGTCCGAACTTCAAATTGCCAAATAAAAATACTAAGAATGCTGTAAGCCAGAAATAAAGGTAAAGGTTTCCCCTTGATGTTATGTCCAGTCATGCCTGACTCTAGGGGGCAGTGCTCATCTCCGTTTCCTAGCCGAGGGAGCCAGCGTTTGTCTGCAGACAGTCTCCATGGTCATGTGTCCGGCAGGACTAAACACCGAGGTGCACAGAACGCTGTTACCTGCCCACCATGGTGGTACCTTTTTATCTACTTGAATCTGCATGCTTTCGAACTGCAAGGTTGGCAGGAGCTGGGACGAAGCAATGGGAACTCACCCTATTGTGCAGATTTGAACCGGCGACCTTTTGATCTACCAGCCCAGCAGCACAGTGGTTTAAACCACTGCGCCACCTGCAGTCCCAAGCCAGGAATATATATCAAATAAAATGCTAGAAGGTAGGGCCACCAGTAAGAAACCTTCAGGTCCAGAGATGTTCCGTAGAGGTTTTTCTGTAAACAGCTGCTGCCCATATTATATGTCAAATGGCCTTTGAAGTTCTCTTACAAATTCAAAATATCCAACAGTTCGCAAAATAAAAAAGTGCCACCAGCCAACAGTCTAAAGCCTAAAGTATTTAAAGTATGAAGTATAAATTGTGCAACTAGTTCAACACATGCAAGGAGACTTACATTTTCCCACACCATGGCAAAACACATACTTTATAAAACAGGTTGTGATATAACATCAAGGTCTGGATTTCAAAGAAATACATTTAAAAATAGGCATGTTGAACATGCATAAAGAAACGTATCAGATTGTTGCCTCAATGTGGGTTCCTAGTAGTATTTGAACTTACTATATATCACTGGACAACCTCCAAAATATCTGACAAAAAGATTCACATCCAGAGTAGCACCGGAAAGTATGAGTTTCAAAGATGAATGTTTCTGTAATGTATCTCTTAACTTTGTTAATAAGAAGTCACTGAACCGATCCCTCTCATGGACTTCATCCTGCAACAAAAACAGGATGGGTCTCTCCATAAAAAATATTTGCACATTTTGAAACATCGTACAATACATCTTTTTTACAAATGTTGCCACCTGTTGGCCATAGTTAGATATCCCTTTTAATTAGAACTAGAAGACACCGTGCTTAGAAGTTAACATGAAGTATTCACAGTATTCAGCACAAGTTATTAGAGTAGCTGAACAAATAACAGATATGTGTTAACATAATTGCTGTGAGAAAGCTGTAGGGCAGCAAAGGGGCCTCAATGAAGATATTCATTTTCATTTTCGATTTATATCCTGCCTTTTTCCTACAAAGAGCTCAAGGCAGCTTACCTCTCCTCCTCCATCTTATCCTCACAACAACAACCCTGTGAGGTAGGTTGGGCTGAGAGTCTGTGACTGGCCCAAAGTCACCCAGTTGGCTACATGGCTGAGCGGGGACTAGAACCCAGATCATCTGAGTCCCAGTCCCATGCTCTTAACCACTACACCACACTGGCTCTCACAGTAGCTATCAGCCTCCATGAATTTCTTGTTTATCCTTGAAATAAAGATGCTCATACACCTTTTTGCTGAATTAATTGACATAGCTGGACTTCCTCTCACCCTCCCTTCCCTTGCCTTCCATAAAGCAGGGGGAGCCTGTGTATACTGAGAGCCTCTGAAACAGAGGCAAAGAGGAACTTTATAAAATCCATGGCAAAAGAAATTTTTTCGGCTTTCCACTAAGCACAAGGAATGCACAGGTAGCCAAGCAGATCAGGAAGCCCTGTGATGAAACAGACATCTGTAAGCTTTTCTTTTGCTCATTTATTGATCTGTTTCTACATTTCATCACTATACATATATCTTCCTTGACACAAGTGGCTTCATTCCTTCTAAGTATACTCTAGTCCAGGGGTCAGCAACCTTTAACACTCAAAGAGCCATTTGGACCTGTTTCCCACACAAAAGAAAACACCGGGAGCCGCAAAACCCTTTTGACATCTAAAATGAAGATAATACTGCATATATCGTTTTTTATCTTAATGCTATGTATATCTTCATTATGATTTAGCTGCAGCTCTTGTTCAGTCACTAAAAACAGTTATTTTTAATCTTACATTATAAACTAGTAGGACTCCTTTCATATATTTTGAATAGGAGAACAGCTTCCTGCAGAGTCAAAGTCAGTGCTAAAGGGCTGCATGCATTAAACAGCAAACCCCATAAGTTCGTCAGCAGTAAAAGCAAATGAATCTCCCCACTTATCATTAAACGTTTGGTTTTCTTCAGAAACTTTTCTTCGATTTATCCATGGTTGGCCTACCAGGGGAAGTTGCAGATATAGGTGTGTTTACTGACTGATTAGCAGATAAACAGTCAAGTGATGTGAACTGTGACAGGTCCCAAGCACAGCTTTTAACACTCAGATGAAACAGATTACATTTGGACAAAGAGAATCTTTTCAGCAGCGTTTCGTGTAACATGAGAGCCTGTAGGAAGCTTGTTCCACTCTTTCCCTGCATGATAGCAGAGGAATGTAGCAATTTACTTAACCAGTCTCGGCCGCAGATTGGCGGCTGTGCCTGCGCGTGTTTCGAGCGACAGAGCCGCATGTAGCAGGGGGATTCAAGAGCCACGTGCGGCTCTGGAGCTGCGGGTTGCCGACCCCTGCTCTAGTCTAAACAGATGTACTTCAGGAAGGTCAGGTCCTGGGATAATATATCTCAAAACACATCAGTAATACATAGTTCATTCTCCATACAGAATGAGCATTATTTTTATCCACATCTGTTAACCTTTACCATAGCCATAAATATTTGAAATTTTATTTGCTTGAGGCTGTGTTACATATTATCCTATATCTAACCCCTAATCCAGCCCTTCACAAATTTATTATCTCACTGCCCTTTTTCTTTTCTTACAAGAACATGATTTCTGCTACAGGTATTACATTTTCCTGTCCAATATTACAGCATTGCTTATCAGCATACCTGCCTTGCAGCTTTCTTGTATTAGCTGCTATTATATTGAAGCATTCTTTTAAAAATATATTGCCACTTATCCAGTGTTTTGCCTTTTATATGCTCATCATCTAGTTTAAATGAGTTTTAAAAGTGTCAGCTTGAAAATCACACAGTCCCAAATATGACTGAATGCCTTATTTTCAAAATATTTAGGATTCAAAGGCCAGTCATCCTTTAGAATTATGTTCTGTGAATAGTGTTTCTTCTACTCTTTGAAGGACACCAGTGGATACAACCCTGTTCGCCAGCTCAAAGAGAGTAAATCAGATCACACTGGTTCTTACATTAACATTTCAATAAGAAATGTAAAATGTGGTGCACAACTTTAAAAATAGTGTTATTTTCTTAAGAAATAAAGGGTCAAACTCACCACAATTACATGAGTTACTGTTGACAGTGCACTATCTCCTGCCATTAATGTACGAAGTAATACACCATTTGTGCAAAATGTTAACAGCGTCTTTGGAGAAACTCTGTTAAAATGTCAAAGTAATTTAAGAACTTTACATTATGAAAATTTAGCACAATACAAATAAATAACATTATCAATAAGATCTGCATCTTACCACAATTTTATCACTTCAATTTTTTTACTATGTACAAACCGTATTTGATATGCGTCTTTGGTAGATAAATTCCTAATACAAGAATGTAATTAACAATCTGTCTGAGTAAGAGTAAACCCCATATCAGGCCTTAAAGACAAAACCATATTGTACATAGTGTATTCTCATATAAGATGAATATCTGTGTCTGAGAGAAACATAGCCATGTACACTTTCAAGATGTATAAAACAGCTCCACATACTGATTTTTGAAAGTTACTCTTTTTTTTCCATTCCTATTTCTATGAGATCTAAGTTTAGAAAGGAAAATTGCACATCCAACTTTTATAATGCTGCACTGTTCAGCATTTTGAGCTGCAATGCTCCCCTTTTCTTCTAATGAAAAGACAGGAAGCCATAGAAAAATCTTCCTCAATACAGCCCTATTATCAGGGCTAGTGAACTGCAGCAAAAGCAAAGAATCTTGTAGCACCTTTAAGATGAAACAGTTTTTTGCATGAAGTTTTCATAGACTATATATTGTCCACTCCAATAAATGCATGAATGTTACTGAGAGTGTGAATACATTATGTATGGTTGAGAATGTGAAAAATAGAGCATAAAATACACCATCAGTATTAAAACAGAACAAGGATATTTTTGAAGGCCTGGGCAAATAAAAAGCTTTTCACCTGGTACCAGAAAGACAAAAATATAAACCAAGTAACCCTCCTTATGAAAAATATCACAAAAATGTGGTACCACAACTGAGAAAACCCACTTGTGATTCATCACCCACTTAAATCTGGTAAGCTGGCACATACAAACAAGGGACTGAGCTGTTCTTAATATTTCAAGCATGTCCATCGGGGAATAGGAGATGCCTTTCAAACTGGCATGTGCAATATATAGCAATAATGGTTAAAACCCCACATGATTCCCTCCTTAACATCTCTAAAAAGGAGGTGAGATATAGTTCCGATTGGTGAAAGCAGTTTGTGGGTCCTGGGGCGGAGGGCAGGGTAAGGTGTCTAATTTGAATTTGCAAGTATATCACAACAGATGCTAGATTTTGGCTATACCTTGTCAAAGTTTGTTTAAAGGATTTCTAAAATACTCTTTATCCAAATATACAACAAATACTGGCAAGACCTGCTTTCCAATCTGATCTGATAGCCAATTGTCTGCCCAATCTTCTCTCTTCTTTCAGCAGCAACTCTTTCAGCCACGGCAATTGCCGCCAAACGTCTTGGCTGAGTGCAAAATATGCGGCATGGTATTCCATTTTTGTAACAGTCATCAAGCAGAAACTGAGGAATCTAAACACAAAGATTGTATATTATCATTGAAAAGGCTGCAATAGATCCACACAAAAATAGGTACCGTTTACTATAAGCCAATTTAAAAACATTAAAACCCTGGATGGAAGGAAAGCTCAAAGTTACAATCCTTTTTCTGTCTAAATATGGACAGGACTGAGCCCTTAGTACATTTCATCTTTTATGACACTTTTCAATGGTAAAAACTAGAGAGAAAGGTGCTGCTTACACATAATTACAATTCATCAGTTTAGTAATTAGTGTGTTCTTCAGAACACATAGGCACACTGTGCTACCTGCAGCACACCAACCTTGTCTGCTTTACTCCACAATCCACAATCAGGTCAGTAACGCACAATCGGTTCCTGCTGAGCATGCTGTTCACACCAAGGCAGCTGAGTTGTTGAGGGCCTAAACAACCCAGAAGTCTGGAATCAGATGTTATGCTTATCTGGCGTTAATTGTGAGTTGCTAAGTAAAAGCAGAAGAATCAAGCACACTGCAGGCATCATGCTCACTCTCCCCCATTCTATATGAAAACCAATGGGTTGTTATTACATGCAAATCAGGTCTTCAGACTGGCAGGAATCTAAAAAGGAGTTTAAGAAACAGGTTGCAGTCAGATGAAGGGGATAATGAAAAGGGAACTGACAGATGAATTCGGATGCTCCTGCACTTACCACATGATTATATCTTCTTACAGGATGAATGCAGTTGTATCGGAGCAATAAAGTTGATAAAGCAAAGCGTAAGGGTGCACCTCTTTTTAAACTATTTCTAATCACATTTCATTCCAGACCCATTCACAACTATATAATTAAAAATGCCAGCAAGAAAAAGGTTTTCACATACTACACATAAATTAAAACTTCAGTGTTCAGACCAAAGATATATTGCTAGGTTATCCTATCAGAATACATCACATTAAAACTGTCAGCTTCCAAAACCATCTAGACAATCTACTCTGGTAATATGTAACATTCTGCCTTGCTAAATAAACAAGCTCTATCATGGACCTAATCATGATAAACTATGGGCTAACTCATAACGGACAGCACCCTTTAATTTGACAGAAAACGTTTAACTCAGGGGAAAATACTGACTCTTTTGTCTTAAGGGATCCATACACAGAAAACCCAGACTGTAACAACTTGCTTTAGATATAATGCTCAACAATGGTTCAAACATTGCAACAAGCAGATTCTTAAACTGATCCTTTTTTAAACAGTAGTTTCTTGTTGCATATAAACAGCTATTCTGGTTAGTTTTGACTATGATTTAGCCAAACATGGCAGGTTCAGAAACCATGGTTTAATCTTGGATTATTTGGGCAAGCTTTAATTTAAACTACATATAGTTTGTCCCAGTTCAGACAGAACATAGTAAAAGGAGGCTATTGCTGCATTATTTCCTGAGTTTCTTTTCTTTCTGGTGTCCACTGAGCCGTGACACCCCATTCCTGGTTCCCATGCATGGAAAGATTAGCAAGTCAGTGAGAGATTTCTTCTCTCCCACAAGGGAGAGCTCTCCAAAGGAACACCACATTATCAAATTGCTAGTCGGTGCCCCCACAGGAGTACAGATTTTTCCACAACTGTTGCTAAGAGCTAGAGAGAAAATGACAGTAGTGGAGGGTATTCTAATTAACAGATAAAACTGAGTAATCTTTGAGATTAAGATTTTTTTCACATGTGAATCTATTTAGGCATTTTAAGTACTCATAAAATACATACCTGAGTGGTTTTTCCTGATCCAGTTTCCCCCACAATCAAAATAACTTTATTTTCTTTAATAATTCTAACAATTTCATCCTGCTTGTCATAAACTGGTAGAGACTGTCGAAATGAATCAAATTCTGATTCTCCCCGTTTCACAGGGATTTGAGGGATGCCATTGTTAAGTCGCCCACTTGTTTTGCTCATTTCTCTATTTTCTAAGGAAGAACAAAAATAATGACTACCCCAAACTTGAGTATTAATCTACTCCGATACACAATGGGTGGGTCTGCACAATCAGGGAACCACTGTGGCATATTTTTCCATCTCATACATACCAATTACACACAAACAAATTACCCTCCTTGGCTGTAGGTTGTCCTGTGAGACTCAATCTAGGGGCCAGGAGGGTTTCAAAATCACCCCCACAACCCTAGAACTAGCCATGGCTTCCCAGGCATTTTGTTAATTCACCTATCCCTCACCCTCATCAAATTCAGATGGTATGACAATCCATGCCTGACAGGTATAACTATGGTAATTTAGTTGCATACAACTGGCATAGGTGGGGCAGAAAAAGTACATTGACTTACTTCCCTTCCTTGACTGTGTAATTTAAGTCAATAACTCAGTTATTAGTTATGTAAAATTTAGCATTACTTAGGAGATAAACAACTAATATATAAAAAGACAGTCTAGATAGCAAACTAATATTTCAGTTACTATTAAATTAAAATGCAATCTTGGCATGTAATTATGTCACTACTCAAGGAACATGAGCAGTTTGGCTGGAAAAAAGGGGACATTGTCAATGGAATAACTGAGCCCTAGAAATGGATGGCAGCTTTATTTTTTCAAGGAACCCAATCTACATATTCTCTGTATGTATTTCCTTCACCAGAACATATAACTAAATCTTCAAAACCCCATGCAAGCCTGGGATCAAAATATTGCACAACAGTTGAGACCATTTAAAGCCATAGTTGTTCCCCAGATTATCAGTATGGCTTTAAATGGTTTCATCAGCTTACAGTTCCTGACTGAAAGCTGACTAATTTAATATTCTTGTCTGTGGGTTTTTCTTACATGGCCCCTGGACCACACAATCTCCCATTTCCTTGCACAATCAGGTCCTGATAGGACTGAAGTATCTTTAGTACAGCGTTCCTCAGTGCTGCTTATTACAGAAAAATTGAAGATCTCAGTCCTTCCATTCATTTGGTAGCTATGTAAAAGGTAGGCAAATTCAGTTCAGTCCAATTGTACAATGCAAATAAAACAGGAAGGAAACGTATTTGTTGAACCAAAATGTCTTTTTTAACCAGCCAAGAAAATATATTAAAACATAGTAATGTTCTGGAGGCATCGAAGTGCAGGTTTCTGTGTTTATTTGATTTCTGTATAAGTTTTTTATAGTTTCTATTTCTTATAAAGTGTTTTAGGACTCTCCAGAATCCCACAGAAAATTCCTGGGAACAGGTCAAATCAACTGAAAATAGCACTTCCATTAACAGAATTGTAACCCCTTTTGTGAATGGAAAGGCTACTCAGGATCCTAGCCAGTGTAATTGATTGATCTTTAACACCATATTGTTTGCATTTCTTAGTTGAAAAGTAAGTCAGGATTTCGTACATGTAGATTTTTCCAGATGATCACATGATCATCTTGCAGGAAGGGAAGCTATCTCTCTGCATTGAAATGTTTTCTAAGAATGAAGTGCCAGCACAGTGGTGACAAATCTTTAGAAGTGGAATAAAAAAGTTAACAAATCCACCAATCCTGATGTAACTACCATCAATTAATAACAACATGAAATTGTAATTGTGACATTATATGTATAAAACGGATAGCCTCCTAACATTTTCCAACTATAGAAATGTCTTCCTTCCATGAGTCATTAGGTATTTAAAAATCAGAATGTATTCAACATACCAGCTTCAACAGCAAATACATTTCCCCTTTCTGTCTTTGGTAGAAGTTCTGTGCGTTCTTTATTGGTAACAGGAAATCGCTGTACCAGGCTTCTAATAGCATGTTTTGTGTTTGGAATCAAATTACATGTCATCACTGTATGGGCCAACTCTGATCCATCCTTTTTCTTCACAGTTAGATACCGGTTTGCGCCCTTCCTGCAAAATTTAACATTTAACACAGATTGACCAGAAATGCACATGAAATGGTTGTTTCAAATTGTTAGAGATTTAAGTAGCAGTCTTCAAGTACATCAATTAAACTGTACTAGCATATGATTTTGAAGTCTATTTTAATACACTTAAATCGCAGAAAAACTTTCAGGCTTCTAATAACCTAAGCTTTAGCATCCTGCCTTAAATATCTACTTAGTCAGTTATGTTCAATATCTTAAAAATTACTTTCTCCTTTTTCAAATATAGCTTAGACTGGTTTTTCAGCAGGCTCTTTTCACTATCAGACACAGTGAATACTACCCTGCACTGAGAGCTCAGAGTAAGTTTCATAGGACTTATTAAATTAAAAAGCCATATTTTATACATTGTCTGGTGCCTGTTCGCATCAAACAAGCACTGCTGAAGGCCAAGGTTTTTTCAAATGAAACCCTCAGACAGCACATTTCTTTGGACTTTCAGCTCAAAGAATGACTGGCAGCAATGGTCTGTTCCAGTTATTCTGAACTGTGAAACGCAGCGAATTATCAATAATCTTTCAACCTACCATTGCAAACAGTTTTATACATTTCGACACATTGGCTAAACAGAGCAAAAAATATGCAGCCTTGCTTTTTGATTTGATACAAGAATTTGAAAACAGATTTCAAGGTTTCTGGAAAAATAAGCACTATTTTGGTATATTTGCCACTCCATTTTCTGTCAACATAAATATATTACCTGCCAATATTCAAGTGGAATGTATACAGCTGCAATCTGACATTCAACATGAAGAAAAATTTGATTGTGGACTTTTATAGGCCCTATCATCCCACAGATACATATCCCTTGCTTCATAATCATGCCTTATTCATGTCTTCACTTTTTGGAAGCATCTACATTTGTGAGCAACTATTTTCAAGAATGAAGCACACTAAGAGTAAAATTAGAACCAGAGTATCTGATGAGCACCTTGAGAACTCACTGAGAACTGCAACTACTTCCATCGAACCAGATATTGATCCATTAGTTTCTCAAATACAATGTAAATATCCCACTAGTTTTATGCTGACCTCTTTTACTTTTATAATCAAAAATAAAAAAAATCAATGAAGTTTTATTACTTAGGTATGTTCATTTTCTCTATTACTAATCACAAACTTGGGACTTGCTCAACAATGTTAAGATTCGTCGAATGGGGCGCCACATAATTAGGATTATGTGAGGACTTTTTTGCTTATCTGTGGTGACAGATATCACAAAACTTATGCACCGACTTTTTTTTTTGCTTATCAGCTTTTGTTAGTGTTTGTACATTTAATGTGTGGCCCAAGACAATTTTCTTTCTTCCAATGCGGCCCAGAGAAGCCAAAAGGTTGGACAACCCTGCTATAAGTGATTCAACTTCCACACAAATTCAACTTAAAGATGGATTTCTGTTTTCTCAAGAATGAAACTAACTCGTAACCCAGGGACTGCATCTACATCATATATTTTCACCACAATCAAATGTGCGTTAGACATATATTATATGCTATGCTGCTAACTCGAAATGAAAAGGGTGAATGTGTCCATTTTCAGAAGGGTTCAACAGTTTCAAAACACTCAAGTCATAGAAGACAGAATTGTACAAGTAATCATGGTTCTGAAATACACAGTCTCATTCATGAGAAAAGAAGTAGTATTGTTTAACGAGGTATTAACTTACCCCTTACTTTTAGAAATCAGTCCAAGAGACTGACTCAATCGGTGAATGAATGCTCTTTCAGTACTGGTCAAGGATGAAGGAAATTCCATTTCTGGGAAGGGGAAAAGAATAATAGGAATATTCAACCACTTAGAACTTCTTTTGCATGAAAACAGAACAACCAATCCTTAACAATAGTAAATAGAGGCTGGAGTCTTGTACTCACTAACCTGGCAGTCAGTTCACTGAATTCATTTGCACTTATTTCAGATAGGATTACACTGTAACCCTGTTCAGATGTAACAGATACATCCAGTGACCATTTTCAGTGTGATTAACTCACAAACTGCCATGTAATAGCTTAGCATAGTCAGTGTGTCACCCAATGAACTTGACTAGTGATAGATTGAAAAGAGATCAGTGAAGATATTTCACACAAAACATAGTTTAACATTTTGCCATGGGTTTAAACAGAATAAAATAAATGAATAGTGTTATTTATTTATTTAGCAAACTTATATGCCGCCCCATTCGCCTAAGCCTCGGGGCGGCTTATAAATAAATAAATATCACTAGTACAATAAAATACAGTCGGAGGCATCCTGGCCAAAGTTGTTAAAATCAACAATTAAAATGACATTTAAATAAAAAGGTCTTGGCCTGGTGTCGCAAAGCAAATAACGACGGCGCCAGGCAGACCTGGAGCGCATTCCATAGGTTGGGCGCCACCGCAGAGAAAGTTATGAACTGGGCAGTAAATGAAATCTGTTCAGGTATGTTAGGTTCAGGTAAGTTAGACTGGGCAGTAAATGAAATCTGTTTGTTCAGGTATGTTTAACAAACAAGGGCTGATGAGAACCTACCAAGAGGCTGGTCATGATGATCATCATTTCTCTTGTGACTTTTACAAGGTATGCAGCTCACCACTGTGGAAAACAAGCTGCAGCACCTTAGACTCATCTAGTGAAATAATGCTTACGCTACCATACAGATGCTTTGCTTTATCAGTTTGTATTTCTGCAAATATATGTGCAAGTAAAATGTACACTCACTGGCAAAACCTATGCTGCTCATGCTTAAGATCCCAGATTCAATTCCTGATGACTCCAGTTAAATAAGCTTGACTAACCAAGGCAAAAAGGACCTTTCCCCACTTCCCAAAGGAGATAATACCAGTCATGATAGGTGTATCAGACAGACTAAAAATATCTCAGTCAGCTAAGCTGGGGGAAACTCCTGCATACTTATCATTGTAAAAGCTGAGATAGACTTTCAGCCGATGCCTTGGAAACCACCAACAAATCACTCCAGCAGTAGTATCAACATACTGAAATGAGATAAGCATTCTCTAAAGAATTATTCCAAAATGCACGTTTGGCCAAAGATAGGTCTTAGATCTGAAAAGAACGAAGATGATTACCCCAAAAGAGCTGTCATCCAGCAAATCAGCATAAGACAGCTTCACATGCATATTTTGAGGTAGGCCAATATATCTGGAAAATTATACAAATACTACAGAGGACCAAGGCTTTTGTACCATTGCTAATAATGCTTGTCAGGATCCCCTCATATTACCAGGCTACAGAATAGGGTCCCTTTCGTCTCGTCTTGATTGCACTGACTTTATTTCAGCCTTTTCCAACCTGAGAGCACTCAGGTGTGTTCGACTGAAATTCCCATCACTCTCAGCCAGCAGCCCCAATGGCCACGCTGTCTGGGAATGATGTGAGTTGCAAATACCTGGAATGCACGTGTTGGGGACCCCTGCTCTAACTCCATCCTCACACGAAAAGCAGCAATAATATAATATAATGGCTGGAATTCCGGATCCTTTAAAGAACCACCCTCCCCCCCGACATAAGGCAGACAACGACCCCCATCAATTCCGTACCACCTCCCGTGAAGGGAGTCGTTACCTCGCTGGTCCCCATATCTGAACCGCTCCAGAGCGATGTTCACGGCGATTTTCACTTCTTCGTCGATGCGAATATCCTTCAGCCCCTTGGCCCGGCCGCTGCCGGGGCAGGACGACGCTGTCGAGGCAGCAGAGGCGGTGGAAGGCCCCCCGCTCTGAGGGCCCGTGCCAGGAGGACGGGGAGAAACGCTGCTCGGGCGGGACATGGCGGAGCGCCGCGGTCCCCGAGCACCCCAAAGACACCCGAGTGCTACCGATGCTGCTCCGCGACTGGGAAGGAAAACCGAAACGGGGCAAAGGCAGAGGGAGGAAGAGGGACCGCCCCTGAGGAAGGAGATCCGGGCGGGCCCCAAGCAGCGCGTGATGACGTACGGCCTCCTGGGCGGGAAAGGGGGGCAGAGGAGGAGGAGGAGGAGGAGGAAAAGAAAAAAGGCGGGGCCAAGGGAGCGAAGAGGCGGGGCCGGGGGCGAGGCCAAAAGGGTTGTGCGCGCGCTTCCGCCGGTCCAACGCTGCGTTCCTCGGCAGAAGCGGACTTGATTTTTCATTTTAATTTTTTTTTAAATAAGCTAAACGCTTGCAACCTTTTCATGCATCCCCAGAAGTTAAAACATAAATAAATCCTGCTTCTTAGGATGTGAAACTTAGGAGTGCAATCCCGTAGGCGCTTCCAAGTGTCCTACCTATGACAGCCCTGGTCAGCTCTTGTAAATTCCAAGCTATGGTTTCCATGCATATTTACTCAGAAATAAGTCCGATTGACTTACAGGGGACTTATTCCAGTGGAACGGGTATAGGATTACAGGGTAAGGTCAAAGCTTGGGTTGAGGTATTCATGCTTAAAACAAGAAGACCTGGAGCAGCAACTATCACAGTGCTACACAAGGAATCTGAGGCTTTATTGTGTTGGGCATATAATGCAAATTTCCCACAAGGTGGTGCAAGTCCAGTAACTATATTTTCCTATATCTGAAAATAACTACAGTTTTTGACTTGCTGCCTGCTGGTGGCCACTGTTACCGGAGGGCTTGCGTAAGGTAAACACTGCAAACCAGGCTTGAGTGCTTTTTTTTTTTTTTTCTGGCTGGCTCAAGCTCTAGGCCAATTTCCTGTGATTAGTTATGTGGTTTCAAAGTCATGCAGGAATTTTTACATTAATAGCTACAGGAGTGTGAATGGTGCCAAACAATGTACATTTCAGCCTGACTGAATACATGATTTTGGCATTCCCAACCTATGCTAGGAAATGAATAGGGGAATGCAACTCTGCTTATTCTCCTAGATATCTCAGCAAGTTAACCTCTAGTTGGGCTATCTGAGACATGGGGCATACTGTTTCATTGGTTGCATTCCTACTTGGAAGACCAATCCCAGAGGATAGTATTATGGAACAACTACTCGGCCCCATGTCACTTATGCTATGGTCAGTGTTCCATCTTGTTCTCCATTCTTTTTACTATCTACACAAAACTACTGAAATAGATCTTCTAGGAGTTTGGAATGGGATATCTATTTTACATCTGGTTCAGGTGAGACAACATACATGCTACATTGGTGTTTAGGGTCAATAATGAACTGGAGAAGAGCCAACAAACTAAAGCTCTGTTTTGACAAGACAGGGATATGGTTGCTGAATGATTCATCTGCCTCACCAAGCAGACATAGTTAAAACTGTCCTTGATGGGGTTACATTACCCTTAAAGGATTGGGTCTGGGGGTGCTCAGTAATATAGCCTAGTCGCTAGTGGTGCCATGGGAACATGAAAGTGCTTTATACTGTTAGTTCATCTAGCACAGACTATTGACACTGAATGACAGCAACTGCCCAAGATTTCAGACAGGAGCTTTGTCTGCTCTACTTGAGTATGGTGTTGGTCAGCTTGGGACCTCAGGATGCAAACCATGTGCTCTACAACTGAGCTACAGTGTCTCCTGCATCATCTATGATCCTGAGTGTCAATGGCATGGGGTACCCTTCACCAGCTAATGAAATGATGATAGCTGTGTTTCTTTCTGGATGGAAATACTTAACCATAGTTATCCCTGGTTTTGTAATCCACCATCTTAGACTACTGTAAAGTGTTACATGTGGAGCAGTTCATCCAACATGCACATATGATGTCTTTTCAGCACCAGACCAATACTTTATAATTTTCCCAGGCTTTTTCATTTCCCCAGAACCAGTGCTTTTTTTGTAAGAAAAAAGGTGTCGGAACTCATGAAATTATTTACCTTTCCCACATGGTCAATCGCTGTATACACACCCACACACGTCAGTTGTATAACGAAACATAACTGTCACTGCCCACAGTAAGCACTCAGCATGCGGCCACACAACCAATCACAAGCCAAGCAGCACCATCACAACCAATGCGGACGAAGTATGCATGCACCGGATTTGACACACAAGCAGCCCGCATGCACCGTTTTAATGATTTTGTCACTGACCTGCTACGCTCGATAGGGTGATTATCTCTGCTGCAAGTTTAATCCTGTTTCTGTTGCATTCTTGTGAACAGTTCAGGAAATATGTTTTGAAGGGCACCAGTAGAATGTAGGGACTCAGGGTACAGGTTGTAAGGATCATCATATCACGACTTTGAGACACAGGAAAGAGGTTGTGAGCAATAATGAGCAATTCCACAATATTGCTTTATTATCCACACTCAGCATGTTTTGCTGATCTGGATTTCAACACTTTCCATAATAGTATTATTTTCCACTTTCGCTTGGGAAACTAAATGATGCACTGCAATGCTGTGAACTGTGCCCATGTCTAACTCTTCAAATAGATTACCCAGCTAAAGGGCAACCAGCAATGACAAGGTGGGGCCAGGACATCAAATAGCTTTATTGAGAGTATAAACCTATTTATCCTTAACTGGAAGCAAGTACAATTGAACTCATTGGGTCTTCTGAATAGAAATGCGTAGGAGTCACTGTTAAAACTGTATTGACAGTAGAAGTTATACAAATCTATGGGTACTCCGAAACTAAGTCTGTGCTATTTACCACTTAGGACATTTTTCTGGAATAAAGTATGGTAGGAGAAAGAAAACTAATGTTAACTGTTAAGTCTCTTTTATTATTATTGCTCAATAATGAAGTTTTCCTGTGCATTGCATCTAAAATGATTTTATATATAATATTCTCTAGCATGGAAAACCAATAATTCTTTCAAGGGTTAAGGTTCTTATGAAATGATAACTGTCTGGAAGATCTGATGACCTAACAAGTAAGCTAGACTTTAGCTCAGTAAAAAATATTTCTTGTATGTAACTGAAGCTCTGACAGATGCTAAAAATCATTTGATCTTCTCTTTGACAGACACATAAAGTCATGGTCAAGTGTTCAGCTGCTGCATTAAAGAACATGGTTCTTATTTTATTTTATTATTTTATTTATCTCTATACCACTCAATAGCTGAAACTCTGGGAGATTTATAGCAATTAAAATACAATATAACATAGAAAAACAAGCACACTATAAAATTTCACTACAAACTGCCATAAAGCCTAATAATTTACAAAAATTACTGCGGAAAATTGCCCTCACCATAGAGAGAGAGGAAACAAAAGTGAAGAGAGGGATGCCTCCAAAGCATGCCTTCCTTCCCTGCCTATCAGGAGAGGGAAATCTTTCTGGCATATCTTTGCTGCAAAGAGAAAGCGCTGGTGCATTAGGGGAGGGAGCTAGAGATAAGTCTCAATTTTTCTGCTTTCACAATTTTTCTGTTCCCCTAATCCCCATGAATGTGGAGTGCCGACAATACATGGTCCAACTTACATACAAATTCATCCTAAAGACAAATTTCCACTTTCTCAGGAACAGAACTCATTCATAACCCAGCAACTGCCTGTATTGGTAAATTGGGATCACATTGGTCTGATGTCTTAGGTATTGGAGATCTGGAATATATCTTCTCTCATTGGAGTTTGTGCTATATGGGATATACTGATGGCTCTAGAAATGTCTTTAATGGTACTATGAGTTCAGCCTATTTTATCCCTAATTTTGGAATTCAGAAAGGATTTCATTTGTCTGAAGGGGTACTTCTTATGACAGCAGAGTTGATGGTCATTTTAATGGTGCTCATGTGGGTTAGGGATGTAAGACCTGACAATGTATTAATGGTGGCAGGTTCTCTTTCAGGTTTGCAGGCTCCTCAGGCTGGTGGAGTAACTTGCAAGCATGCACTGGTAAATGAAATCTGGGCTATGAACACTATCCTTTGTCTTATGGGAATTTTTGTTGTGCACGTGCTCATGTTGCTTTAGTGGGTAATGCATCTGCTGATTTGCAGTGATCTGTGAAGAATGCTTTGCAGCATTCTTTTGTTGATATTCCTTTGCCCCTTTCCTGGAGGGAAGTTTCTTGTTTCATCTGGCAGGAATTAGGTGACACTGGTCTGCAGGTATTTTCCTCTTGCCCTTGTGAGTGATTTTCAAAATTTTAATCAGCCAGATAGAGTGAGACAGGTTTGTTTCTTAAGGATACTGTCTGGTCATTGTGCTGTTCGCAGAAATCTGTTCAGGATGGTGGGGCTGATTCAAACCTTTGTGAGATGTGTGGGCTACAGAGAATATTAATAATTTAATCTGGGATTGCCTGCAGTATGTGGAGGAGTGGATTCCTATTAAGTGTTTTTTTGCTACTAGGAGAGGTCCTTCTGGTGACTTGGGAATTCTTTTGTGTGATGGTGAATTTTGTTTTCTGGTGATGTCTGTTCTTTGGAATTTTTAAAAGGCCTGTAATTTAGTTGGGGTTTTGATGAATTGAGAGGTTATATTTTAATGTATTTTGTATTCAATGTTGTAAGCCGCCCCGAGGCCTTGGCAAGGGGCGGCATAGAAATGTTTTAATAAATAAAATAAAATAAATATTGGTTTGATTGGGCCTGCAGGGGCACAGTGGTTTAAACTGCTGTGCTGCTGGGCTTGTCGATCGAATCTGCACAACGGGGTGAGTTCCCGTTGCTCCGTCCCAGCTCCTGCCAACCTTGCAGTTCGAAAGTATGCAAATGCAAGTAGATAAAAAGGTATCACTTTGGTGGGCAGGTAACAGCGTTCCGTGAACTTTGGTGTTTAGTCATGCTGGCCACATGACCACAGAGACTGTCTGTGGACAAACACTGGCTCCCTCGGCTAGGAAACGGAGATGAGCACCGCCCCCGAGAGTCAGGCATGACTGGAGTTAATGTCAAGGGGAAACCTTTACCTTTTTTATTGGTTTGATTGATTTTTGTCATCAGTAGGTGGCAGTAATAGGGCCTTTGTCCTTGCTTTGCCACTAAACACCAGAAAAAGCAGCATATCATGCTCAGTTCTTTTG